TTTGAGGTCCTGGGTTCAATTCCCTGAATTGCCTTCTTTTCTAATGATGCCATAATTGACATAGATTGGGAAGCTTACTAAGCCACTTTGTCATCCTGATGGAATTATTGTATATGGGCTGGATGTAAACTGACACTCCTGATGTATCACAATTAACTGTCAACTAACACCTTTCAAACAGAAATCTAGCAGACCAGGCTGCCAAGGTTATTCCTTTTCTAGCCTGAGTTGATCTTGAAAGCTGATCTGTTTCTCGACTTAACAATTTTTCTTGACAGGTTCTTTCTACTCGTCGAGGCGACGAGGCATCTAGTTCATTTCATTCTTCAACTTCTTGGTTTTTATACTCCATACAGATGAGTTCCTGAGATTTGACTGTAATAGTCTTGTTTAGGTAGGGCTTAGCTTGGCATGTTGATGGCTGGTAGAATTGACTCTTCGAGACGTCGTTTCTAAGTCCGTTCTGTACTGCCGTGCTTTCATTCTTTATGTAGTATTTAGCTACCAGTGAGAAGCCTCCACTGTAGCTCTTTGTACTGCTTGTAGATTGCATAAACTGATGTAAAATTGCAAAATCTACAGGTAGCCTGATACCAGGTGTATCAACAGGGTTAATAGGGATTTGTTGAAGCGATTGTGAATTTTCCATCCGACTGGTAACTTGAGTTCATAGGTGGAGGCTCCTTTTTTGGATAAAATGGTAAAGGGTCCCACTTGATGGTCGCTCAACTTTTTTGCAGGTCGAGGGAGGTGTAGGTTCATGGTATCGAGCCACACCTTATCGCCAATGTTGTACTCGACAGCCAGGTTTTTACGCTTGTCGTATGCCCTTTTCATTGACTCGGCCATCTTTTCCAACGATATCCTTGCTTTCTCTTGCGTCTCCTGTATTCCTTCAACTAATTTGGCCACTGCTGGTACTGTTCCTGGAGGTAAAGTGCCCGTGAGGGTTTGTCCATCCCGTCTGAATATTACTTTATAAGGGGAGTATCCTGTCAATGAATGGGGGCAATTATTGTGGGTGAAGGCCGCTAAGGGTAACCATTCACTCCAATCGTCCTGTCTATAGTTAACAAACATCCTTAGGTATTTTTCTATTTCCTGATTGACCCATTCCATCTGTCCATCTGTTTGGGGGTGATAGGCGGTGGAGGGGTTCTCTTGAACTTGGAGGAGATGATAGAACTCTTGCATGAATTTGGAGATGAATATGGAGCCTCTGTCGGAGATAACTTTTTCCAGCATCACCCCATAGGGTACATAGACATAGTCTCTTAGGATTTTGGCAAAGCCGAGGGACATGAGCTCTTTGGTACAGGTGATGGGGATTATGGTCTTCAAAAAATGGTCTACAATGACTAGGATCAAGTCATATCCTTTCAAATTCGATAGCTTGGTGATCATGTCTACCGAGATATGGGTCCACAGTCAAGAGGGTATCTCATTGGGATGAAGGGGAGCCCTCTTGGGTCATCGATCCGCTTTGGTTCGCTGGCAGGTTTCACACCCCTTGATATAGGCTTTCACATCCCATCGCATTCGGGGCCACCAGTAATTTCGGAGGATCAACTCTTTGGTCTTCTCAACCCTAGGGTGCCCCGCCGTGGCATGATTGTGTTTGAGAGCGCTGATCTCTCCTTGCAGTTGTTGATCTACTGGGATATAAATTCGTCCTTCATAAATGAGTAGGTCTTGTTGGCGGATGATGCCCTTTTCATGATTGAGGGAGTCCAAAATTCCTCGATCCCACTTTCGGGGGTCGTGAGTGGCCAGCTTGATCTTCTCATGAAGGTCCTCCACCGTGGGCATGATGAGTGCCCTAAAGTGTTCAGCTTTGAGAACAATCACGTCCTTGTTGTCACCCTTTCCCTGATCATGATCTGCTCATCGGGAAAGGAGGTCTGCTTTGCGATTCTGTGCCCCCAGTTTGTGATGTAAAGTGAACTGGTATTTGGCTAACTCTGTGACCCACTGAGCCTGTCTTTGGTTGAGCTTTTGGGGTTTTCGAAAGTACTGAAGATTGGATTGGTCTGTCCAGATCTCAAAGTCTTCTCATGCGCCCATAAGATAGTGACGCCAGTCCTCCAAGGCCAACATGATGGCTAGGAGTTCCTTGTCATAAATCTCGTAGTTGCGTTCTGTGGTGGATAGAGCCTTAGAGAGAAAGGCCATGAGTCGCCACTTGTCCTCCTGCAACTGGGAAAGTACGGCCCTGATTGCTCCTTCACTGGAGTCTGCCTCCACTCGAAACCTCCCTTCATCCAGAGGAATGGCTAGTACTACGTCCTCCTTGAAGAGTTCTTTGAGCTTGTCAAAGGCTTCTTGCTGAGCTTTTCCCCAGCTCCATGAGGCCTTGCCTGTTAAGAGTGTCAACGGCTTGACATGCTTACTGTAATTGCGAATAAAGCATCAGTAAAAATTACAGAAGCCGAGGAAGGACTGCAGTTCTTGCTTTTTCCTGGGGATTGGCCACTCCAGTAGACCTGCTATCTTTACGGGGTCCATGCGAATTTTTCCCTTGCTAATGATCACTCACAAGTACTTGGTTTCCTCCACCTCAAATTCGCATTTCTCGGCTTTTAAAAAGAGCCCATTTTCTCATAGGATCTTTAGCACTTTGCGCACCACTCTCTGATGTTCGGCCTTGGTCTTTGATGTGATGAGAATATTGTCTAAGTAAACCGTAACCTCCCTGGCGGATATGAGATCTTTAAAGATGTCGTTCATCATCCATTGGAAGGTGGCGGGAGAATTTGTAAGGCTGAAGAACATAACCAAGGGTTTGTACAAACCCCGATTTGTTCAGAAGGCTGCCTTCCACTCATCTCCTTGTTTAATCCTGATGTTATTGTAGCCCCAGCATATGTCGAGTTTGGTGAAGTACTTAGCCCTCTTCAACTTGTCCATCAGCTCCCCTATTAGCAGTAGCAGGTATTGATTTTTAATGGTCATTTCGTTAAGTTTTTGATAATCCTGAACAGGGCGAAGCTTTCTGTCTTTTTTCTTGATGAAGAAGAAGGGGGACACCATCGGGGATTTCGACGCTCAAATTCTGCCACTTGATAGGTTCTTGTCTAAGAACTTGTCCAATTCTTCTTGTTCGAGAGGGTTTAATGGGTAGATTTTGCAATCTAAATTGGCATTTGTGTTTGGGATAAGTTCTATGGCATGGTCCCAAGGTTTTCGTGGTGGTAATTCGTCGAAGTTTTCTTTGCTGAATACATCTTGGAAGTCCCGATATTCCTCGGGGACGATTTCCTCAAAAGACTTGGTCATTTTTTTGGTATGAGCTTGAGCTGCCAGCTCATTGGCCTTAGTACCCATGGCCTGGATGTGGAAGGCTTCTTCGAAGTCCACCACCAAAATGGTATCTCCCTCTTCATATTCCTCTCCCCACGTCGCTGAAGGGTCTTCATCAGGTAAGGAGAACGGTATTTTTCAGCAGGTGCACCGGGCTAAGGTCATGGCTCCGGTGCTCCAGTCGATGAGAGGATTATGACATTGTAACCAGTCATGTCCTAGGAACAGAGGAGTGGTACCTAAATCAACCATGGCCAGGTCGATCCATTCCACATGATCTCTGATACATAATCGTACTTCAGCATATTCCATGATGTCACCTCCCTTGTTGTGTGTGCCATCTGCATTATAGACCGGCATGGGATGCACGGTCTTTTTGAGATTAATATTGTTCTTCTTTACCCATTGTTGGTCAATCGAACTACCCGTGGCCCCACTGTCCACTAATGCCTTCAGGGCATAAGTCTCTCTGGTGTCAAGAGTCTCTAATTGGATGTTAATGGATACACTGCACCCATTTCGTCCCTGAATAAACATGGGTGGTTTCTTTAAATCCTCCATCCATTCCCACTTCTCTCGTGCCTCTGCAGCCATTTCGGGTTGTTCCTTGAGGGTTCGGCACAATTCCTCGTTCACCTCTCCTCGTCATCTGGAGTGTATCCATCCATTTAGTATGGTGGAGGCGGCTGATTCATTGGTTGCTAGCCTTAATGCTTGTCGGGTCCAATGTACCCCGAAGGGTTCATAGTACATATCTATGATGGCTCGACGAGCCTCAGGGGCTAACTCAGGTTCAGCAGGGGTCATGGGAGATGTCCCCTTGGGTGGCGTAACGGGTATGTCAGATTTTAGGTGTTCCTCCTCATCCAGGACCTCCTCCAAGGTAACGTTAGAATACTTACTTGCTCTTTGTGGCAGCAGTTGGTCGCCGGGCAGAGAAGCGCCCTGATGCGGCAGTTGGGCACTGAATGTCGAAGGGGAGGAGGAGGACTCTCTGTCCTGTCTTTGACCCTGGCCAAGGGTACTTGCACCCAGCGTTGCAACCTCCTTATTGTTCTTGTCCTTGTTCTTGGGCCCTTGGGTACTCCTGGGAATCTGGGCAGGCCACACACATGCTGACTCACTCGAAGGCTCTGCACCATTGGCAGGTGCATTCTGCATTCCAAGGGCTACTAAGTGGGAGGGATCCTTCAAGGTCATGGCCTCAGCTGCTTTGCCACTGGCCATTGCCTATTCTTTCCCCTCGGGGCGGCTGGGCCCAGCCTGATCCTAGCAGGAGGGCCTCTCCCTTGCATCGGGAACTTTTCTTGTAGCACTAGTAGGGGGTTCCTCCTGGACGACCCCTCGGGGTTCAGTACTGGGCGCAGCGTGCACCTCACAGTGGTGGAAATCCCCTTCTACGCCATTGGGATTTTGCGATTCTTCTTTTTTAACTTCTTCGATAGTGAGTGTAGCAACAGAATGAATATATTGATCGTATGGAGTACCTACATATGTAGTATAAGTCTGACCAGCGACAGGGAAGCTCATACCGATAGAAATTAAGTCCTTAGCCAACATCGTCGAATCGCTTATTTCGATGCCGGCTCATCTTTTGACCCCTTCTCCTCCTTTACCTCCTCGATCTTCATATCCTTTCCTAGTGATTCCTCCTTTTTGGCTTCAGCGAGTAATTGACAGAGGCGTTGAGTGGGCAGGGGTCACTTGGGTGGACTCTGATGTGGGCCCCATGGTTGGTACTCGGGCCACAGGAGTTTCTTCCCTGGCGAAGACCCAGCTGGTGGCTGGATACCAGGCGATTGGAATTCCTTGGTCCATTGGCCAACTAGTTGCAGCCACTCTCGATCCAGAGGGGTCTGTTCCAGCTGCGTTGGCGGTAGTTGTGGCGGAGGCCCCAAGGCCGAGCTCTCCATCATCCTGTTCAAAGTCGTCTCTGCATCTGAGATCGTGGGTGTCTGCCTCTGCAGTGAGCCACTCGCTTCAGGTATAGGGGTCAGGTTCTTCTTCCCCACCCCTGTCGTTTTCAAGGAAGCTTTGGAGCCTCCTGCCTTCATCGTCGAAGAGCCAGAGAGGGCTCCCTTGGTTCGACTCCACAGACCCTTTTTCTTTGCTTCCTGACTCGTTTCGCTGGACGGCAGGCTGGTCGAGGAGGCCTGGTATGGGAGTGTCTCCGGTGTCAAGGAGTACGCCCCAGGTATCGGTGATATCGACTGAGGCTGTTCTGTAGGAGTTGGAGCTCAACTTGCTGGGCTCTCTTGGTGTGATGGGTCGTCCATCATGAAGGATTGGTGGTTAGGATGGTTGTGTCGTGGTTGCAGGTGTTATGAAGGGTGGGATGTAGTGAAGGGGGAGTCACGCTCTCACTTCCTGAGTCCGTTGGCAACACCGATACACTTGTCAGATGACAATGATCAGGACTGTGATGGTAAACAGGGTGAAGGCGACTGAGAGAGTTGGAAGTAGTTCAGATATGGGCATATGCAGATTGAAAGTTTAAGAATGTAGAATCATTGGTCACCATCGTGCCACGTCGATGAGGAACGAATAGACGAGCTTCGGCTAAATGTTAGCCACCAACTTAACAAATAAGATCAAACAAGGATCACCACTCGCACTTCGGCGGTCAATACACTTGCAGGTCTGTATTTGTGGGAGAAGAGAGGGTAGGTGAACTTAGATAGTCACAAAACACAGAGAATGGTTGGGTAGATTAAACCTTAGCCAAAGCTGGGGTTTAGGCCAGTGAAGGCTACTACTTAAATACACAATGATGGTGCTAATAATAGTACTATGAGAACTCAGATATGCTTTGATCGTATGTGAATAAGCAGAAATGAGTCAGAAAAAGGAAAGAAAATGAATAAACTGTAACAAGCAGCAATCAAGTACCGTATGGCAAGGGAGGCAAAAATGAAGCTGAGTGGCCCAGGAGATTGGGAGGAGGGGCTTCATAGGCTCGAAGATGGCAATATCCATTTCTATCAAGATCCAGATCATCTCCATAAGGGAACAGGTCGCTGAGGAATGAATGAAGATAGCTGGGAGCCAGGATTGGTTCCTGAACTTCCTGAACCTGGTGTCGATCTGTATCAAGATAGTCGAGAAAAACGTGATGGGACTGGCCAAACCTGGCATACTCTTTCTTGGATTTGGACAACAACGAAGATCAACCTAGCAGATGGGGCTGATGAAAACAACGATGAAGTGCTATATTTGGAATGGTGTCACAGTCATGCAAGAGCATATCAGGCACGTGAGGAAGTTTTACTCCTCTGGGAGGAAATGCGCAGAACCTTGAAGTTCTTGGAATGGCGAGGGGAGTGGTGGATGTAACGGTGGGGTGCACATGAGTTAGGCAGTGCACTGCATGAAGTGGTGGATGCCTATGCTCTCAAACAAAGCGATATACAGCATCAGCTGGCAGTCAAGTTTTGGGATCTCTGGTTGACAGCTCTAGACAATGGATGAATGGAGAATACACTGCATTCCGAACTGCATCCCAATGATGATGATGATGCCAGCAGCGATGGTGATGCAGATGAACAAGACATCAGGATTTGGAGTGATGAGGAGGAGGTGGAGCTGGATGAGGAGGATTATGTGGATCTCTGAGGGAGCAGTGAGTTCCGTGAGGGTGGGCACTGTATGACATATATCATGCCGTGTTGTTTATTCATAATTTCATTATTTTTACTCCTTTCCTGCATGTCATCAAGTTATTTACACATAATCCCAATTGGGCAGTACAGGATATTTAATACCATGCCACTGACATAACATTTGCGTCATCGCTAATTGGGGAAGTGGCTGCACTGGGTGATCTATATTTAGCTTTAATTACAGCTATTAGTAACAGGTGAGTAGTCTACTGGTTAAAGTTTGTGCTATTGCAGTGATGTCATAAGGTTGGACATTATTTTGCAGTGTTGCTGGTTCGAACCCCAGACCTTGCCAGTTCATGTCTCTGATGTCATAATCGCTGGTGCGGGATCCTGTGGGATTTGTTAGCTAAGGTGTTAGTTGACACTTGGGTTCTAACTAACACTCCTGATGTATCACAATTAACTGTCAACTAACACCTTTCAAACAGAAATCTAGCAGCCAAGGCTGTTCCATTGGCTGCCCTGCCCCTCTGTATGTGACTCCCATGGCATCTCTCTTGTTGCCAGAATTCCCAGAGCTGCTGGCTTTTCCTGACGACTGGCCTTGGTTGCCTTGCCCAGAACTGTTGCTGTTGTTCTGGGAGGTCTTATTCGCATTCTGCTGTGTGAGTCCATAGCGGTAGTTGGTGTCAATCCTCTCGATGCGATGTTTCCATTTGGTGTACATGGTGGGATGTTCGTTGTCCCCATGCATGATGGTATCCTGAACTGTGGGTCGTACTGTGGCTTCTACAGTCTCGAACATCTGCTTCTCATCCTCAAACTTGTCACACTCGTGGGCCATTTCTTCGAACTTTGAAAAGAACTCTATGGCAGTTTTGAAGTCCAATTGTCGGAGCTTCTTCCACTGCTGCTTCTTGATGGCTAGCTTGGCCACCTCATGAAAGTGGTCCATGATGGCTCATTGGAACTCCTCCCATGAGGGCAGCCTCCAGTGGCCCCACTCATGGTCTCGGAAGCGGTGGTCCTGATGTGTCCACCACTTCTGTGCCTCTCCTTGTAAGTACGATTGTGTGAAGGTAATGCGATACAGGTTGATGCTCTCTGAGTTGAGGGAGTAATGGTTAGGGAACACTGCAAAGTAAAGTTTGCAGTGGTTGAAGAAGTGCCTAATATCTGACGACTCCCCATAGAAAAACTCAGGCACCATGATTAACTTCAGTTTTATATTGCTCCACGGATTTTGGTCTTGTGGACCTAACTGCCATGCTGGTGGTGTATTTGGAGGTGATGGCAGTACTGGAGGCAATGGTGGGTTTGGTGGTCATGGGAGGGACTGTAGCTGATGGTTGTGCCAGGGTGATGGGTACCTGCCTGGTCAGTTATAGTATGGGATCAGAGAGGGTGGTGGTCACAGCAGTGGTGCGGCTGGCGACGGGTGACCTTTCCCCTTGTCAGGTGATAGTCCAGCTTCATCTCTGCCTCCCTGTCCTCCTTGAAGCCCCTTGGTCTCCCAGGGATGCGGCATATGAGCCAGTCTTCAGTACGTGGCACATCCTTCCTTTGGGTCATCCTCATGGCATAGGTTCCATATGATTGCAGCTCGATGCCATGTGTCTACCTCGACAATGTTGCACATAAGGAGCACATCTCCTACCACCTGAGCATCTAGGTAGTCTTCTCCCCCCTTAGAGAGCATCCATTGCAGGTCCCGAATCATGTCCTCTGCTATTATCTCGTATAAGGCCTCCCATCGAAGGAACAAGAGAAGGATGGGAGCGGTCTCAGTATCTCTAGTGAGAACCACTCAAACCTGCCTCATGATCTCTATTTTGATCGCAGCATTGGGGGGTCTGTTTGGCATTCTGGCACCTCCACTCGGCGAGGTCAGAGCTCTCATTGTAGAGCTCATTTCGGTAGTTTTCTCGAGCGTATTGTTGCTCATCTCTGTCAGCTCCAGCCCTTCAAAGGGCAAATTGGTATCAGAGGCCTGCCATCCCAATCCTCCTTCCTGCCTCTGCATCTGTGGCATCAGGTTCAAGGGGGAGGATTTGATACTCCCAGAGCATGGCGATCTCTGCATCTCGGCTTCATGCTTCACTCTCTCAGGCTCAGTCCATTCGGGCCTGTACCTCTGGGGTGAGCCTGGCATTTCTAGGGAGGAGCAAGGACTCAATGAGCATGTGGTACAGATGGGTCCAGGGTCACTGATGGACAGGGACAGGGGCAGCGAAGGCTTGCAGCATGACAGACGGGATGAAAGCAGGGATACCAGGGAGTGTGTTGGTGCTGGTAGCTGCTCCAGCAGTATCGGGATTGTGGGCTTCAATGGTGTCCCAGATCTGCTGCTGGGTCTTGGGGTTGAGGGTGATGGTGACAGGGGTCTGCATGAAGGGCTCGCTCATGGTCCTTGTGGTTTTCTCAGTTGGTACTCCTCTGGCAGGGGGGGAATCGTCTTCCCTTGCGAAAACCCAACCTGTTTGAGGATACCAGGCGATAGGTATCCCTTGCCACTCTCCCGGCCTATTTGCAGCCACTCCATGTCTAGAGGGCTCGCGATGACCTGCTCCGGTGGAATTTGCAGCGGAGGCCCCAAGACCGAGCTCTCCATCATCATCTCCGCACCGCTCCTTGATCCGAAACCACCATCTGGCTAATTTTCCCACAGGTAAATTTGCGACGATGGAGGGTGTAGAAACTAGCGTAGGCAGTACCATAACAAAAGATATACAAACTACACCTACGAAAAGCAAAAATCGCATCGCACAGCCCATGAATGAGACACCTAGAGCAAGACAAGGTCACGTCAAAAAGAAAATGGCCCTGCCGAACGACAGAGACCGCCCGAGAGCAGTACCCTCTCAAAGCACATCGCCAGCACACTCGAACTCCTCCACAGGATCCAAAAGGAATTGGGAAGGGGACAATGATGACTTCTTCGGGACTCCGGTGAGGAACTGGAGTGACCACATGTCGAGCATGAACATTAGGGAAAATGAAGCAAAGCTACAAGAACTGATGGAGGATACCATCACAGCCGTGCAGGAGTACACCAAGAGTGGAGCAACGGCAGGTGAAGGGAGACTCGGAGAACGAGCGCAGGCTCTAGCACACAAGCTAACGGTGATGATGTCGGGAGAGAAGACGATCAGCACCAATGCGATGCTCCACCGGGTGTACAACCAGCAGGAAAGAATGGAGAAGAGGATGAAACAGTTTGAATGCTGCCAGATAGAGCTGGACAGAAGGGAGAGGAAGAGCGAGACAAGGATGCTGAATGAAGAAGTGCGTACCTTTAAACCCATTCTGAATTACGCAGCTGTTGCCGCAACCGCAAGTATACATAGAGGAGGAAACACAGAAACACCAGCAATGCATTATGTTACACGTCCCATGAGACCAGCTAAGGCAACAACACAGAATATACCACCTGCATCGACACTCAAAAACCCCAACAGACCATACAACCCATGCCGCATGGTCGTACGAGTGCCAGAACTACTGATAGACTATGAAAGGCCTAAACCCGAAATGGTCGCCATCAGGGTCAATGAAGAACTAGCCAAGCATGACGAGACGAAGGAGTTCGTAGTTGTCCATGTACGGTTCAATGTGAATAATAGCTGCATATTGAACCTACGAAGCGACCAGCGAGCGGCAGATCTAGAACCACATGCACATATCTTCAAACAGATTGTGTTCCCAGGACACAGCAAAGTAGAAGCATACCCAGATGAGAAATGGTTCTCGGTCCATATATGCGGCATCAAGACAGGGATAGTCGATGGAAGTGGAATCCGGACAGCTGAAGAAGTCAGACAGGAGCTCATAGCGAAGAACCCTGACATATGGGGAAGGACAATCAGAGCATTCAGATGGGTGAGACCAGAGGGAAAACTCATAGAAGAAGGGAAGTATGCATCATCGGTAGTTGTATCCTTCGAGAAAGAGGAGGATGCAAGGTACATGACAATGGAGAGGAGAAGCGTATCGCTTTACTGGGCATCGTGTATTGTGAAGGAGTTTACAGACAAACCACCGGCAATCCAATGTGAGGGATGCCAAGGCTTCCACCGGAAAGCAGCATGCAAAGCAGCAGCAAGGTGCCGACTGTGTGCGGAGGACCACCACGAGAATGAACATGCAGAGAAATGCTCACGGTGCATACAAGCAAGGGGAGAGGCATTGGAAAGAGGGGAGATGGCAACGGTCTGTATGCACAGGCGATGCGCAAACTGCAAAGACGGGGAACAAGCAAACCATGCAGCGAATGACCGGATGTGTCCAGTCCAGATCCGTAGGCTGGGAGATCATAGAGATCCAAAACCAACACACCCAGTGGGGAACATTGGAAATGCGAATGGAGGCTGGAGAAAGGTCACTCGCAAATGAAAAGGGAAAAAGCAGACAAATCCTGCCACAGAGGCTGGGACGGAGTCAGAAGCTGACCCACCCACCTCTGGCAGAAGGTATGCGAATAATATACTCTCTGAAAAAGAAATCATTGCTATGCTCCAAGTTGTTTTTCCAGAGATACAATCTGAACAACTCCAGCTGTCATGGAAACAACGTAGCAATGGAAGCTCACTGGCACAAGTCATCGAGGACATACGTGACCCAGAACAACCATGCAGTAGCCAATGAATGATACAACACAACACCAACAGACAACATGTACGAAACCCATGAACTTCATGCAGTTGAACTGCTCACGGTCATCGTTAATCATGCGAGCAGTGCTTGCAGATTTATGTAAATCAATTGATGTGTTTCTTTTTCAAGAACCATGGTGGTGGAAGACTCCACATGGGAAGTGGATCTCGGCAAGCATGAATGCCCAGGAATGGCAGGCAATACTCCCAGCTGGGGCTGAGGAGGAGTGCCCACGAGTAATAACCTTTGTTCGAAAGTGCAGTGACCTCATGGTAACACTGAGATCAGACATTGCGACAGATCCCTATATACAGGTGCTAGACGTACAACAAGGAGGAACAAAATTATGGCTGGTCCATTTGTACAACAACCCAATGGACAGAGATGAAAATGGCAAGATGGCACTAGACAGAGTACAGAGGCTCGCCATTGACCAAGACGTTCCGATGGTGATTACTGGTGACTACAACTCCCACCACTCCCTATGGTCATGGGAAGGACAGCGGGAGAGCCCATGGGCAGAGGGACTTGTTGAGTGGATGGTAGAGAGAGGTTTACTGATGATGAATATGAAGGGAATACCCACATTCTTTTCCAGAAGCAACAATGGAGCCAAGTCAGTCATAGATCTGACATTCGCCAATGCTGCAGCTATTACAGGCAACCTCCTGGTAGACTGGAGAGTAGATCCTGAATCCTCGTACATGTCGGACCACAGTGCAATATTCTGGAGGATCGATCAGGACGTGGAAGTGGTGGAAAATGCGCTTGGAGAGCAATACAACCTAAAAGATGCTGATGCAGGAGAATGGGAGGAAGACTTCAAGATAAAAATAGGAGGCTTCTCTGACAGCATGAGAGAGATCAAACAAGCTACATCGGAATCCATGGACCGATCTCGACTAGATGAGATTGTTACCCAATTTCATACGCTGATCCAAGAGTCCACAGAGAATGTGGTCCCCAAAAGGAAACCAAGCACACATGCATGCGCATGGTGGGGGAGAGAGATGAAGAATGCTTGCAGACAGGTGAAGGAATTGTGAGAAGCGCAACGAACCGACAAAGCAGAACATGGCTGCATAAGCTTGGACATCGCAAGGGAGATCAAGAAAGCACAGAACTTTTTCAAGTGCATATGCCGATGAGCAAAGAAGAAATGGTTGGACGAGACACTTGCAGAAGCAACTACAGACAAGATATGGAGATTCAGCAAGTGGTACAAAACAGAACGTAACTATCCTTCACCAGCAATTAGCCGAGGCGAAGGGGAGACACCAGCAGTGACACATGAGGACAAATGTAATGCAATCTGAGATGAGTTATTCCAACCACCTCCAGAACTGCCAGATAGCAAGGAACCAGAGCTAGAAACTAGGAACCTGGGAGACATAGAATACCATGATGTCTCCAGGGAAGAGGTACGTTCAGCATTATTTGCCGGATCAAAGACTTCTGCTCCTGGTGCATCACAGATCAATTACCTACTGCTACAGTGGGCATGGAATGTATGCGAAGATTTCATCATTGCACTCATCCGCCTCTGCGCCGCCATGGGCTACCACCCAATGCCATGGAAAACAGCTATAGCTTTTGCATTAAGAAAACCTGGAAAGAAGGACTATGGTATGCCAAGAGCATGGAGACTCATCCAACTGCTGGAGTGCTTGGAAAAGGTCCTCAAACGCATACAGGCAAATAGACTTGCTTTCTGGGCCGAAACACGAAATCTGGTACCACCAACCCAGTTTGGAGGCCTTGCAGGACGATCAACAATCGATGCAGCTGCCACATTCGTACATGATATTGAGGCAGCAAGGGCAAGAGGACTAGTCACATCATCACTGATGTTTGACATTACAGGCTACTTTGACTTTATCAACCATGCACGACTACTAAGGGAATTGCACTGTAAACACATACCACTACCAACCATGAAATGGGTATCCTCATTCCTCATGCAGCGACAGGCAGCAGTGTGCCTAGATGGCAAGTGAGGTCAGATGAAACCAGTGATGAATGGAATTCCCCAGGGATCCCCGGTGTCACCAATCCTATCAGCGTTCTACTCAGCAGAGATTCTGGAGCGATATACCCCACCAGAAGTACCACCACCCGAACCACCACTAAAGCCAGATGCTGCATGGTTTTCAAGGAACCCCCAGTGGCACACCAAACCGACGACAGTCATGTTCGCAGATGATGGCAACATCTGGGTTAGCTCAAAAAGCCTTGAGACCAACATCGCCATCCTAAAAGCTGAGTATCACAATACATCGGATCTCCTCAAGTCGATTGGCCTTTCTTTAGACTGCGACAAGAGAGAGCTATGCCACTTCATCTCACAAAAGGGGGTCACACCATTTCCGGCAATCATCCTACCTGGCAAAACAGCTAGGACTGAAGTCACAATTGCACCAAAGCTATCGACAAGATGGCTGGGGTTCTTCTTTGATGCAAAGCTGAATTTCCGGTCTCACATCAAGGAGATGGTGGGAAGGGCAGAGTCAGTGGTAAACGGGCTTGGAATGCTAGCAAACACTGTACGAGGACTGAGCCAGAACCACATGCGACAACTCTATATGTCATGTGTTCTCCCAGTTTTGACGTACGGAGCAGCTATATGGTGGAAAGGAAAACGGCAAGCATCTCATATCAAAATGCTTACACGAGTACAGAATCAAGCGCTACGCCTGATTTGCGCAGCATTCAGAACAACACCGATTGTTGCTCTAGAAATTGAAGCATCTATACCACCCATCCGGCACCTACTGGATCTCAAACGAGATAGGTTTGCGGTACGGATATGCAAGTTCAGCGAAACAAGTCCCATCATCCAGCGACTAACAGACAAAGATTGGAGAGGTGGTGTGGCACCACGAGCACACCCGCCAATACAGCCCGACATTCCAATTAGAATGCGATGAAACAAAGAAAGGCCAACAAGGAGAACCTTCCTAGGCGAGCTAGAGTCAATATTAACACCGGAGGATGAGAGAATTTCACTATTCCCAATAGCCCCATGGGAGAAATCACTGACAGAATACGGAAACAGATTTCAGACCTCATTACCAGTCAGCGGTGAATCAAAAGAGGACACTGCAAAGAAACATCGAGATTACATAAGGAGGTTCTCCTTCGACGACACCCATCTACTGTTATACTCAGACAGCTCCCTACTCGAATTAAATGGCAAACGACAGACAGGAGCGAGCTGGGTAGCGATGATTCGGGGAAAAGTGGTCGCATCACAGAGCATAGGGACAGGACCCCATGCTGAGGTGTATGACTCAGAGCTTATAGGCTTAGCGTGGGCCGCATGAAATGTACAATGATTGCGTGCAGCCCACCCAAGCGTACGTCACATTCATTTCTTTGCCGATAACTCCTCTGCAGTTGACTCCATTATACGTCCCAAACGGGGACCAGGTCAACAGCATGCAACAGTGTTTTTCAAGATAGCCACGGAGCTCTTGGAAGAGGACAAAGAAACATCGCTGGAGGTAGCATGGGCACCTGGCCACCAGGACATACCTGAAAACGAAAAAGCGGACGCTTTGGCGAAGGCGGCATGTACAATGTTCGACATGGGACAGCGCACATATGCAAACGCAAGGAGAAGGATGCGAGAACAAGTACAGAAGAAATGGGTACAGGAGTGGGAAAGGACAAGCCCTACTGGCTGCTTTGGACTCGCAAACCGACTCAAACCACAGCTAAAACCAACCCAGAGGTTCAAGGAGACACCACGCGAGGTGTTTGGAAGGCTCATACAGTGTAGAACAGG